GAATGAATTTCGTAGCTGGTATCGAGTTTCATTCAACAAAGGATTCACTTTCGTCGTCTACTCACGAAAATAAGAACAACAACAGAAATCAACTTGAATAATAGCTTCGTAAAATAATTAATTTTCTCTTAAGTCTGTTTTATTTTAATTATTCCAATATGTTTAGTAAATTAATTTCATCAAAATCTACATTTGACGAAGAACTCCAATAAAAAGATTATTTATTAACTCCTGAAAACACCTCAACAAGACATAATGCATCATGAAACAGAAAAAATTGTTTTATGTCGACAACCGATAAATACATTCATTATTGTTTATTTGAAATCATCTATCTCGTCCATCATTATTTTAAATATTTAATATCCTATCATAAGATATTGTTTCTCTCGAGTATTTTATTATTAATTTTATTCGTTTATCATTTTCAAGGTTAACATGAGAAAAGTATGCAGTAAATCGAAATGTTTGTATTTTTTTTTGACATAAATCACTTTTAAAATTCTACATATAAGAAAGTGTAAAAATGCTCAACGATATCGATATCAACCAGTTTTAACCAATTGTAATCGTCATATATATTACCTAATCTATTAATTGTTTATGACTTTGTTGAATTGTGACACTGTGAGCATTGAGATGAAAAATTTCATTTACAAAGAATTTCAGAGCTTGCTTTTTTTTATTTAGTTTCTTCATTTTCTACTCTAGAGAAGTCATTTTATAAAAATAACTGAATAAATTGAGCAAGTTTATGTTGCTATGATAATTGAATGAGAAAATACCATACTAATGTTCTTCGTTAGTGCAAAGAAAACAAAAAAAAACGGTATTAAAATGGTTAATACTCGAAAGATGCAAGAGAAATAACTAAACTAAACAATTTATCATTCCATAATGAATTTTCATTCTAGACATCATCATAGATGTTGATGTTCTTCGATCCATTATTCATCGTTTTCAGTTATCTCTAAGGATAATGTCATATGTGAAAAAATATCTTGATCCATTAATTGCCCAAGTAAAATTAGTTATGTATGAATATGATTCAATAAAATTTATTCGTTCGTGAATACTCAAATGGAATTGTTTATTCAATAACAGTAATAAAAAATGAAAACAACTATAGCAGATTTATTAGAAACAGGCCCAATATCATTCTGAATTACAGTGGGTGTGGGTGTCGATCTTCTTTCCTAGCACACCCATATCCACGCCACATCTAACACTCATCAGTCATAAAACCCACAGTACCGAAATCGAAAATATCTACGAATTTAAAATTCGAGACTTATTGGTCTGAGAAACCATAATTCTATATAATCCGAGAATCCTTAGTAGTATGTCAACTCCCCTATCAGATTCTGTGTGGAGGAAAGCTCCACGTTTCTCGTTATTTACTGCAGCATTCATCGCCAATTGTGTCTCTCACAAAATCCGAAGACATCAAATCAATAGGAACAAAAATAAAATGAACTTAACACAGGATAGAGCATGATTTTAAAAATGTGTTTCAGACAGAGAATACAGACAAAAAGGATTTAATTACCGATTGTAGACCTTAGACTACAAGTCTAGAGAATATCGCGAAGTACATTGCGCTTTAGATATTAGATAGCTTTTTTAGTCTCATTTGTTTATTAAAAAATACTTATTATTTGTTATTCGCACAGCTGAATTAAAAAACTGGAGAGCTTTTTTAGAAACAGAACATATATGAGCAGGTTCATAGATAATATGGCAAAAGAAAACACTGAGTCAATTATGGTTACATTGTTGGTTGAACTTTCACAGCGCCGATGAATTTCAATATCGGAATATCGATAAACTGTGCACTGGATTCGACAAGAGTTACATTGGTATCGATCGGGTCAACTTTCCACTTGAGATATTTATTAACAATTACCTTGTACCTTGTCTGTGGATAATGCAGAAAAGGTACATAGATTTTTGTGGACTTATTGATTGTTTTATCAACAAAAATAGAATAATGAAAGGATTCGTTTATCGGCATGGTATATCATAGAAAGAAGTGTACCGGCAATAGCATGAGCATAAACGCGTGACAAGCATTTGATCAAAGCCATACTAGTTTAACTGTTGCCCTAGAAGATCCACGACTGAAGAAATCTATCGGCTTCAAGCATACCCGCTTCGAGTTGATTATTGCAAGTCGATGAATCATCACATCCGCCGAATTTTGTCAGAAATCCAGAGTCATCCAATCGATGGATTTCATTCTTAAATGAATATTTATGAATGTCGATGATATGAATAAAAAATAGTCGAGAACAATATTAATCACTTGTACTGAACGAAAAACAGCTGATCCTACGGTGTCACTGCAGAGCCTCGGTCAAAAACGGATATATTTTCATTTCCTGAAACGGGATTAATCGCTAAGGTGGTATAGTAATAATGACAAGAGAGAACACTTCGATTTTGATAATCTATGCCGCCTGGCACATAAGAAAATCCGCTATCAAAAATTTGTCCCCTGTGTCGTTGTAGAGATAAAAATATTATTATGAAGATGCGAAAATAACAAACTATTTAACGATTGACTTGCCACTATAAGTGATCGGTTCGTAGAAGATGAGTGTCTTCGCGGAGACAGTTCGAATGGCATTGACAAATTTGTCATAAAATGGTAAGAAATTTTTTGGAACCAGCAATGGTTGTGAGTCTCTTCAAACTACAAGCACACCCATACCCTTTGTTGGTTGTATGTTCGAATGAAACAGATATGGTTTATTCCTGACATCACAACTGAATTATCGATCTTCAATGTTGAACAATACGGAAGAAATTAAAACGCAAAAGAATCGAAGCAAAAAAATACGGTGGTTTGGTTATGATATAATTCTATTCTCTTGTCAAAGTTATTAAATGATTTGATATTATTCAACAACAGCATGTTTGTAAGTATGACTCATGTCACCTTGAGTTCGTCTATCAACAAACCCATTATGGTGGTAGATGTTGTGGCATCGATTATACGTCTCTGAAAAATATCATAAAAGCAACTTTTAAACGAAAGTTTAATCAAAACTATTTTGCTTTCATCGAAACTTGATACATATAAGAAGCAACATCGTTTATTCGATTTGTTACAGGTGAATGTCTAAGTCGAGGGGCTGAGCCATTGCCACCATACCACAAAAAAAAGATACTCGGTTTTCGAAAATTTTCTAATAGTCAGAATCCATTTTCGAGAGTGTTCTACTTGGAGACAAGATATTTTGTGATTTAAAATTGATCAAAATAAAATGAAATCTGTCTTTGAAGATGAAAATCAGTCTTTAATTGATTCAATCAAGAAATGACCAATTTTAACTTTTTCATCGGCATTTTTTTTTTATATATAAAGAAGTATTTTTGGATACAGTAATCCTAAGTATGGTATGCATATCAAAGTGTTGCCTAACATTGCATTTTTCATTTGTATGGAGCTGAGGAGTCCAAAAAACTATTCAAAAAATTGAGTTTCTAAAATTAAAACCCAAGAAAAATGCATTTGGCGACTACCTTGTTTAAAATCGATAAGAAATTGAATAATCTGATTTGAAGTAGACTAAAATCAGATTTTTTTAAAAATATGGTTTGTACACTCTGTCAACCAATTCTTCATCAGCATTTTCTGTCCTATTCATTTCGAAATTTTTCAAAGCCAAGAAAATTATAAAAAAAAAGAAAAGTAATCGAAAACGTCGAGCCGCTGTCGAGAACAAAAAAAAACAATTCTTTTTTCAGCTGCCACCGCCGAGTATGAAAAAAATAAAGTTTGTCAAACACCGCTGTTGATCAACTCATCGGCTTACACCTCAAGTTACAGGACGGACGAACGAAAGGGCATCATTATTAAAAAAGCCACTTAATGTTCACAAATATATTTTATTTTATCATTTGATATTGATTAAATAACACGTAAACATGAAAAAAAAAGCAACCGAAAACAGATTTATTAACTATTTGCTACGTCATCTATACATTGATGAAGAACAGGATACGTAAGATGACCGAAAATTGAATCTTTTTTCAGATATTTAGTATATAAAAAACATTGATGATTCATTTACTCTGACGAATACTAAAGAAATATATAATAGATGAATTTCGAATCATTGGCCAACGAATTATTACTTCATCTATTCGAATTTCTTCGTACTGCTCATCTTATTCATGCATTTTATGGTCTCAATTCTCGATTTGATTCACTTCTTTGTCGTCATTTCGTCGATAATGGTATTGATTTTCGATCGATGTACTCTATTGATTTTGTTACAATCTGTCGAGAATATCTTCCAATGTTGATCGATAAAATACCTTCATTGTATTTATCAGAGAAGAATGGTTCTTTTTGGCTACTTAATCAATTAAATACTCATGGGTTTACACTTGACAAATTTGTTCGATTGAAAACACTTTCATTAAGCTATCTTTCGTACAAACAGTTAAGAAACAAAATCATGTTAGCATTACCTCACTTAATCAATCTCACACATTTGACTCTCTACTATTGTTCTGTGACAGAAGGTGAGTCTATAGGTCTATTAACTGCCCTTCTTTTGATAAACTCTATATGGAATTTACCCAATCTCACTCATTGCTATTTTGACAATACTTATTCGTGTCTAATGGGTGCTATTCGCTTTATGGAACCAACCGTAAGATCATCAAGCATTAAATATCTGTCGATTTTGGGTCTTAATGATTACTCTATGAACCTGACTCATGTATGTGAAAATACACCAAACCTTCAACACTTGTCGATATCCTTTTCCTTAAAGTGTCCTCACAAATGTCTAACGTCAAGTGTTCTATCAATAACTTCTTTCAATTTATTGCTAAGCCTTTGTCGGCTTGATTTAGCTGAGATGTTACAATGGATGCCTAATTTGTGTCAATTGAAAGTAGACTGTGATCATTACATCGATGGATACCAATGGGAAAACATCATTTCAAATAATTTACCCAACCTAAAAAGACTTCATTTTAGAATGACAGGTTGCTTTGAAGAAAGTGCAATGATCGAAGAATATGTTGATGAATTACTCAATACATTTCGAACTCCATTTTGGCTCGATGAATGTGGCTGGTTTGTTAGATGTGATTGGGATCTAACGGACAGAAATATTCTCCTGTATACTTTACCATATGCTTTTGACTATTTTTGTATCTTCAATTCAAAAATCGGGAAATCAACTTGTTCTCAAGAGAAGAACAAATGGTCATACGATGCTGTACGTCAGTTAAGATATCATGTTAAGTCAGAGAAGTATTCCCAACTATCATCTGATATTCAATTGTGCAAAATAGAATCACTGAAAATAAGATTTCCTATTAGTGATTATTTCTGGTCAATGGTTCCGACATTCGATCATTTGACTTCATGCGAGATAATATCGGATGATACTAATGAAGAATGTAAAAAACAACTTCAAATTTTGCTTTCTCGTGCATCGCGTCTATCATTCTTAGGCTTTTTGAAGTTTTCTCCAGCCAGTTCTATAGAAAATTTACCATTAGAAATCAAGAATGCATCAATAAAACGACTCGATCTGCAAAGACTCCATGGATCGTACGATGAACAGCAATGTATGAAATTCAGTCATTCACGTCTTGCTATGCAATGTGAAGAACTTCATATTTCTGTAAAAAATCGAATATCAATATGTTATCTAGTTAAAACTATGCCTAATTTGCGATTATTACATGTGAAATGTGAAGAAAATGAGCAAAAGCAATATTCCATAGAAGATAATAAACAAGATCAAAACTCAACAGAAGATAAACTTGTAAACTGGTTAGAACAACAATTGTCAGGTGTACGATCATTAGTTGAAATCTTTGGTTGTCATGGCACTATTGTATTGAGAATTTCTTAAAACGAATTTTACTTAACATCATCGACAGAGAATCAATAAACTGCTTTTGTTTTTATCATATACATATATGTGTTATTTCATCAATATTTTTGCTTCATAGTTTGATTTTTATCGATAATAATGTCAACATAGAATATTTTTTTAATAAACTACCAAGAGAATTATTGTTTAAATCTTCACTAGAATCCATTAGAGGATTTTGTTCAATATTTTTTGTTCCGAATACTAATAATGACAAATTCAAATTTCAATGTTTAGTTTTCTATTATTTGATGAATGTTTGAAATAGTGTTAGTATTTTAAGTTTAAGTCTTTAGGTTGAGTTATAACATTTTCCACTGCAATTCAGGCTTGAATATTTTACTTTGTCGCTAATCAAACTATTGCTGTAAACCGTCTAGTAAACAGTGTTTCATGATATAACATACAGCCTGGCAGCGACTTTATGAAAATCAATCGAGTCATTCGATGAAAAATGTTAACGACTATAAGAGAGTGTGCCGATTTCTTCTGAATTGAAAAGTATCGGATTATAAGGCGACGTTAACATTTTCGACATGAAACAAAACTAACATCATTAGATAGAGAATCGTCAACAAAATCTAGAAAGCTAGCATGCATTTTGAATAAAACTGTTGCGAGTGAGGACAAGATACAGAAGATCGTCACTGACATTCCACATTCTAATCGTTGGATATGGATCATCATTAGGTGTACGTTACAAAAATTAGCAAATTCTCTTTCGTGATCTTTTTTGATTATTGCTGTTTCAATGTTATGATAAAAAAAATCTCTTGTCATCATCATCCTAATTGTTTACTTAAAGACAATGGAAAACTTTAGATTAAAATATACTCATGTTAATCCCGTATTTTATCGAGCTTGGAATATTAAAACAATTGAGTTAACAAAAAATATTGAACAAGAACGTAAATATGATGATCAAATATTAGCAATAAATTTTTTTTTTCGTATTAGTTTTTCTCCTAATATAAATAATAATAAAGATAATGATTCTTGTTCATCTTATGCGTTGAAAGAAAATGATACTTTGTCTTCAACAAGCCAAAAATCATTCTGCAGAGGATCAAATATGTTACTATGGAATTAAAGATTTGCTTTTCTTCATTGGTCTAATTTCTAGAATGAATTTGAATAAAAAGTCAAATGCATCACCAAAACGAACGTCAGCAACAATTTCATCGCCAGTAAATGCGTGTAATTTGCCGTCTACTGATTGGATGT